GCAGGACTATTTATCACGTCCATATCATGTCTTATTTTAATCTCTTTCTTTTTTTTTTTTTTTTTTGGAATGGCAATTCCAGTTGCTCTAAACTCCCCAAAAACTTGAAAATCCGGTATTTTAGGGCGTTAATCATTGTTCAAAAGTTCATCTAAGGGTATGAAACACTTATCGAACAGAGAATTTTTCCACACTTCATATCGATAGAATTAGACTTGTAGCCATAGAAACTTTTACAATTTTAATTGGAAGCAGTTTTTTTTTTTTTTTTTTTACAATTAATTATAATATTTCATTCACGAGAAACCTTAATCATACTCTTTTCGGTACAATTAACTTCATGTCTCCAGAAGTAAGACTGTTCAATCATAACGGGACAAACAGTTATAGCGTTTTAGTTACTACTACTTTGCCGTACCATGTCAGGACAGCTACCTCTTTTAGAGATTTTATAAAACTCATATTATATTGGAAAGGTAACAAATGAAGATGTTCTGTGTGCCGACAGAAATTTTTTTATTTTTTTGGTTTTCTGACTCGACTTTTAAATGGTCTGATATATATATATATATATATATACAGTGTATGATTATTTAATATGACGGCAGTGTCATGTCTCGGGGTTTTTGTAAACCCGAGATATGATACTGTCCATGATATATCGAAACCGTGATATTAATGCAAAGCGTTAATAGATTTATTTTAAAAGCCAACACTCTTGATAATCGTTATAAAGAATGGTATGGCATACACGTGCTCATTAAATATCTTAACTTTTAACATTATAACATTTTTAATTACTAAATGACTGTGCTCTTAAACCTCATGGATATTCTGTGAAATAATTCTTAATTTCTTAACTAAATTTAATATGTAAATAATGTTGATGTGCTATGATTCTGTAGATTGTTTTCGTTATTTTCGTTTGTTATATAATCTTTGTAAAAACCTAAAAAAATTTTTGCTGACATGATTATAGATGTGCTCTGTAGAAATCAAAATGACTTGGCATGGATGTGGATTGTATTAGTGTGTATATGTATTATCAGTTGAGATATTACATAATCTTGTACGCTTCATTACATGTTATCAGTAAAATATAGCCACTTTCCACTCTCTGAGTTCATCGTTCATTTAACAAAAAAAGGCATTGTTTTGTTGGTTTCTTTCTATTTTCATAGGCTTTATTCACGAATCTATAGATAATTATACACGATAATGCCGAGCTTGATCTTGGATAAAAAAATATTTGTCACGTTGTCACAATCAATATGTCTCGAGTATCGGGATAACACCATTGTTTGAAGATGTGAGAAGCGACCAGTAATTGCAGACTGAAGTTGAGAAAGACCAGAATGAAGTGGGAACAGAAAAGTTTATAGCATCAGAAACCTCAAGAATGAAGAAGTGAAGAAGGATTTCTGTGTGGAACATTGGAGAAATGCTGAAAGCTTGAAAAACGGAAACCAGACGACAAAGATTCGATACAGAAATATCAAAAGGAATGGGTATCGGACAGAAGGTGAACTCTTGGCGAGGAAAGGAATGAAATGAAACAACTAATACATGTATACTTGTCGAGATGAAGAAGAAATTCAACAGTGGAGGAAAGACTGTACTGAAGTAGACAAGAGAATGAAGGCAACTGACAAAATTAATACATCGAGGAGCAGAATTGTGTAGGGAAGACTTAAGGTTATTGTATATTATCACCAAGCATTTGTATAAGGAAGGTGTCTATATCTAACTCACCTAACAAAGAGAGTAATAGTAAAAACTTGCGTAGAGAGGAGGAACAAACAGAACGATGGCGAGAGCACTTCACTGCTGTGTTTAATAGAGAGGAACCGGAAGTTACAGCGACTAGAGAACAGCGGGAGCTTGAAAATCCCAGACATTGTAAGGGGGAACATCTAAAGTAGGACAACAAAGCTGCAGGGCATGACAACATCCAGACAGCAATGATAAAGGAGAGTGGGGACATTAGTGATGAGGTCCTATACACGGTTTTCAGCAAGATATAGAATACTGAAATGTACCGGAGCCATGGGTAGGGGGAAGAGGTTATTGCTCAACGTCCGAAAAAAGTTAACTTTACACGATGCACCTAGAGAGGGATAACTTCCAGGGAAGATCATATCCCGCATTTAAAGAAGAGAACTCAGGACGAAGTAGATGTCATCTGAAGGGGAAGCAAAGTAGGTTAATAAGGAACAGATCATGTACAGTCGACATTTTCTGACTTCGGAACATCATTGAGTAGAATTTGGTATGAGGATCGCCATTCAAATCTACTTCGTAGACTCTGAGAAAGCGTTTGATAATATACATCTGGTCTCCTTATGGAAAATCATGAAGCCGAACGGAATACCGAGACTCATCAAAGACATGCACAATGAATTCCAACACACAGTGAGGGATGAAGTATCAACATCCTAGTAGTCTCGTACAGCGTTTCGCCTCTTGTGCTCATTCTGTTTATTGACTGGGTGGTGCGACTAGTATCAGAAGAGACTCGTTAGGCACGTTCATGTTGTATCTTGTAGATATATATAAAGACTTTGTGAATGACTTCAATACCCTGAGTTACGCACAACAGCAGATGCAGAAGATCAGTAAGTCGAAGGAAAAATGCAGAAAGATCGGCACGGAAATTACCAGAGGAAGTCAAATCAGTAAAGATAGAAAAGATCTGGAGAAAGAAGAGACCTTCTGATATATAAGAAGTTCAGTTCAGTGGTGAAGCAACTAAACGAGTAAAGGGGTCATCAGTACCTGGTAAAATGGGCAACATTTTGAAATTAGGGAAAATTTAAAGGAGGGCAAAGATCAAGTGATACAAGAGCTATGCAAGATCAGTTAACCGACAAGGAGATAGAGAGTAGGAAGAGAGTTTGAAAGAGAGTGTTTCAAAAGGATGTTTGGATTAAGGTTTGGATCGGCAACAAGAAGGTAGCAAAGATTACAGCGATTAGAAGGGAAGACCTGGTAGCCGGAGAGGGACATGAAGGAGAAAGATAGAGGCCGAAATGAAGGAGATTCAACATTATTGGAACACTCTTGGACGAATAGGACAGGAGTAAGTGAGAGGGAGAGATCTTGTAGCCGCTTTATATTATGTAAACATATACAAAAAGGAGTATTGATTATCGTGAAGTTTTACCTGCTGCTAACACCCCTTCCAACGCAGCAATGAAGCAGAAGACGTTTACTCTTACGGAACACCTGGTCTTATTCTCATTGTACTTGCTCAGGAAACTCTATGGAAATCTTTTCTTCATACCTTGCCATAATTTGATTGAAATTGAGTCTAGATTATGATTATGTTGACATGTTTGAACGTTCTTGTTGTTTTTTCAGACTTGCCACTGTAGGTACTAACATCCAACTGATATCTAACTGAAGAGACATACATTGTAGTATTTACTAATTATAAACGTATTCCCGACTAGAAAGTGTCCAGGTACATGTAGATACGTCAACTCTGTAGATCCATTACTCATGCGCTTAAAATAAAACACGCAAATTGCTATTTTGTTGGTTGCGATTTTAGGTCGCTTGGTCCTCAAAAATTAAATACGCACAAAAAATCACGATATATGGTATTACAATATTATAACTCATTACTCAAAATTTATGAATTGATCGAAATCCAAATCAAATTTTTAAAAAACGTGAACTACTTATAGAGTGTTGTTATTTCCGCGAGCGAGTGCGCAAAGCATCCTTTCGGTCAAAGTTAAACTTCTCAGCCAATCAAAAGACAGGAAGATCATACATTATTCCAACTGCAATTGAAAAAAAAAACAGTTAGTCGCACGAAAATAATGTTCGTCATTAGGACTGAATATCCGGATAATAAGCCTAAGGTAAAAATATTTGAAACGTTAGGGTATAAATATTCAGATTCTCAACATTCTACTGTGTGTTAGAGGTTACGGTGAACGATAGAAATATCCAACGGTAGTTTGATGTATGTTGTATTTGTTATTTTCTTATTTTCATAAATGTATACAGGAGTTCAGTGGTAGTCAGAATGTGTAATATATCTATCCGTCAGTTTAATAAATGTAGAATATCTTAATCTCGCTTTGTCATTCTTGAGGATGCTAACATATATGAAATAGAAGTTCTTTTATAACAACCAGGTAGAAAATCATGCTAGACATTTCGATGATTGCACTGTCACCTTCAATAAATTAATGACCTTTGATCTGAAACGGGTTTTTGTACTGAGGTACATTGTTTTCACCAAGCAATATATGTATATATATACTTTTTTATTGCGCCAATTGCATAATTAAATACAAACGAGACAAAAGGTCCTTGATGAAAAATCTGTACAAAGTATCATATATAGATTCATTCTAAACTAAGTTTGTCATTTCCCCAATTTTCCATATCTTGTTAGCTGCATTTCGGGTCAACATTTACATGTAGATCGAATATAAGATCAAGGTTTCTGTAATTTTTAATAAATGTCTTGCAGGTTTCCCAATTTTACGGGAATTTTGTTGTTTTATCGAATTAGCGAAACGTATAATAGTAAAAACTCCTTAATTGAGTGGTAAATAAATATGTATGTGATGTATGGCATGAGTTTTCGTCATTGTGCTTTGTGTTAAATGTTCATGAAAAAGATAATGAAAATTGCCAGTTTGTGAGCCTTTAGCGAGCTATTCAAAGATATAGTTTCATCATTATGTTTCTATATTCTGTGATGTAACGTTATAACGTTTTTGTATGTAATATATATAAATGAACATTTAGCACAAATCCATTGTTTTACACATTCATATAAGGGTCTCTACTAAAACGCAATTTCATGTTATCGACTTCGTCATTGTCGGCGAATTGACGGTCGTTTAAAATAACGCGGAATGAGTAAAACAGCTGCGTTCCGCACGAACTATTATATTAATTCGATAAATGAAGCTGGCAGGGTAAAATCGAAATGCGCATGTGCATATGAGGCAGAACGAGCAACCACAACATCCGGCAAGTTGGAAGGGAAAGTCATTTCATGCATCAGAACAAGACTACTGTCAGCAGAAAATCCAGTATCAAGAAGCTGAGGTTTTTTGGACTCATTTCAACGGTTGTTCTTTTTATTGGCGTATTTTTATGCTATTGGTGCATGGGCAACAGTTCGTCAAGCAGCATGGCCACCCCAATCGTGATTGGACCCCGAGCAGCCCACAGAGCAACGGTGAGTGTGATTTGCCCTGGCACACGGACGTAGTGTCATGTACCCAGTAGTCGATAATAGACCGTGATTTGTTTTGTTCTTCGAGAGCAGCCAATTAGACAAGAATTTATCCGTGCGCTGAAGCCATACCTCCTGGTGGGTGCGAACAAGTTAAACATGTGTCGAACCCTGTGCTAGCTGCCTTGTGTTATTCATACTAAAAATTATTCTGACGTTTTATACCATTCTATCGACTTTTTAAAATACAATATTGGCTCTGAGTCGATGAATGTCAGAACTCATATCACAAGTGAAAAGAATAAGCTACCCAAACTCGTGTCGGCACTCAAACGATACTAATAAAGTGGAAAGAAATTTTCCTATATACTGCAGACATGTACGGATCGAAATGTCTGTTCTTTATCTACAAGTTTCAAACATCACATGTCTCATAATATCAATAGTCTCAATGAACTCACATTTCCCCCCACCTTACTCTGTTTGAGCTCATGTTTGTGTTAGCCACATCTGTACGCATACTCCTTTAGTCTCATTTGCACATGTATTGTGCAAAAGTTCAGATGACAATGTAAACAACAACGTTTTGCAAGCCAAATCCACCTCACTTTAACACCTTTTTGCCATGGGTGAATCATATGATGATTGTGGCAGTGGAATAATTCATTTAAAGATAAAAAACTGCAAAAGTTACTGAAGGACATTGATTTTAACTAAGAGCAAGTGTTTGTTTTCATATGGTTTCTTTATGTAATGATATTCATCATAGCTTTGGAGAAATTTCATGGGTGTTGCAAGGTTTTGTTAAGTCATATAGGTGAGTTTGTGCCATAATTTCCATCAAAATATTGGTAGGTACAAGTAAAATCTATAAATTTGTAGATGTGTTGAACTTTGAAACCTTATGTTCATACTATAAAATCTGTAGAATAAACTGTTGCTAAGTGTAGTTTCATATTTTGTTGAAAAATAACCACAAGCTCAAACTTAGTGATTAGAAATGGAAGGTATGTGGTTTGGAAATCTGATTGCTTTTTCATTTTCTGGTGACATCATTAAATTTTTTAGTCCACCAACATAAGATCAGATCTACACATGTTACATGTTACACATTGTTATTACTATTGCTTGAGAAGTACTGAATGAATGTTTTTTTCAAATGTCTTAGGTAAGCTCCCTTCAATCCCAAGATGTGTTTTTATCATTTTGGAATTGATCTGAAAAACAAAATGGCTGACATAGCCATCTTGGGTTTTGAATGTGAATATTTGTTACTACTACCTTTATCACTTTTTTTCTATGAAGCAAAGAATTGATAACTTCATAACAAGTATGTAGTTTTGTTTTGATCCCAAGTTGTGCTATTTTGAAATGGTAACTGAACTGATATTGAAACAAATAAAAATTAATCGAAGTAGGACCTACTGAAAATGCAAACTTATGTTATATGAAGTTCAAAAGGCTGCCACCAAAAAACATGTAACCAGTCACACATGCTGCCATCCTTGATACTCAAGGGGATCACTTTCGCTCTCTGCACCTCTATAACATGTCATGGCAAAATTTAAGGTTTCATGTGCACACCTTGTGGACAAGACAAAAAAGGCAAATTTCATCCTTTGATGTACATCAACAAATCTCAAGGTCACATGAATTTGGGTGTAGCTCCTTTGTAGTCCTTGTAATCAAAAGGAATGTATCAGCTTGTGATTGGTCAGTTATTTTCTCCTGAAACCAATCAAACAAATTTGGTTGTGCCTTCAATTTTGCCATGACATGTTCCAGGGTTGCAGAGAGTAAATGTGATCATAATCCCTAGTGTCGAGGATGACATGCTGCATGTTTTTTGAGACACAAAATCACAAGTAGAATGTAGGTGAGTCATTCAAGGACTTCGTGTTAGTCTGAATAGGATGTACATATATGTTTAAAGTAAATACCAAGCTCTCATAGAAACATCTGAAGGATTCTCTGACTTCAGTTTGGCAACAATCGTAAATTGAGGCATGTTTAAAATGAATGAATTTCAGCAGCTTTTATATTTATACAGATGTGCAATAACATCATTAGTAGGTCTCGGATGAGTTAATTTTCAGGATATCAAATTAAATAGTTTATTTCTACTGTTCATGTTAAGTGAAATGTGCATACATTGGGGCTTTAAAATGCTGTGCTGAATTTTTTTGTTGAGAAATTTAAGATTGATAGAAAAGTCTGCTGTTATAAATCTAAAGTATGATAAACTTTGTACAGTATGATAAACAATGTTGACATGCTCCCTTGAATCCCCATGAGGATAAAAATGAAAAAGTTTACTGGTAGTTTATGAAAGATATAGATAGGTGATTTCTTAATATTGTATAATTACTCTTTAATAGTAATGGGGAGAAGAAAACCATGAGACTTGTACATATCTAGCTATGTAAAGTCATGTTTGCCTCTCATTAGTTTACAGTTTCTTCCGATTGAAAATAAAAATGTTTAAATCAACAATATTCCAGGTGATTAAGGTTTTAATGAGAGCTTTTAAAGGAAAAATATTATTTTGCTATTGATCAAACATGCTTGAACTGGAAGTTTCATGCTTGGAGTTTAATGATCAATTAAAATGATACATATTTTCTTGTATCTGATATGCTTGATAGACTTGAGCTCTGCAAATTCCAGAAAATCAGTCTTGAATTATAAACACTTTTTGCCACATCATCAGATAGAAGGCTTTCACTGTTGAAAATCGCCATTTGGCCATTGTCTTGGATCTGTCTGTCCTTCAACAATTCTTGTTATCACTCTCTCTGGAGAAGTTCAGAATGGTTAATAGTTGTACCCTTTTGATTTTGGGACAGAACAGAAAGATAAAATGGCTGGAAGGCATGCAGCCAACTTTTATTTTAAATATGAAAATCTGCTATTGCTGTTTCTTGAGAAGTACTTGATGAATTTTCTCAGATTTTGTATATAGGCTCCTCTTTGGCCCAGGTTGTACTTGTAGCTGTTGGGGCTGACCACAAAAGCACAAAGACATGTGGTCATCTTGAGTTTGAGCAGGAAAAATTGTTATTGTAATATCTTGAGAGGTACTGGGTAGATCTTTCTCAAATTGAATTTCAAATTCATATAAGAAAGAGCAGAACAAAAGAAGGGAAAAGATCCAGGTATTAAAGACCAAGTAATGATCTAACCATAGTGGGGCCAGGATACCTCTAAGATCTCTTAATTGGGGCTATTTTATGAATTTATACTTTAGTGGAATTGTCATGGAAATGTAAATCATGTATCTTAAATTGGATTAAATGATTGTAACATATGAATGAAGTAAGTAATAAGTCTTCTGCACATCATGATTTAATTTGAAAGGCGCTAATCGGAGTGCTATGGTTTTGTTTATGGAGAACAAGTTCATAAGGGCAGAGTTCCTATGTCCTTTTTTGGTCCTGGTAACCTTGATAAGGTTTGATTTGACATTTATTTGACTTGTAATTATGCTTGATGTTTCCAAAAAAATCTTAACACCTTTGACAAATCAAAAGGAATAACTTTCTATAAGAAACGACAACATATTTGCAAGTTTTGCAAACCATTATCAATGAACATTGAAAAACAACCTTTTAAATTAACACTTCTAAGTCTTATGACGTGTATCATTTGGTGTTTGTATATCTGTATGTATGAAGACTTCGTCTAAAGAAATGTTGATCAATTCAAACTTTTTCTCGAGAGCATATGGCACCAACAAAGAAATGAGTGGATATCTACCAGCATGTACATTAAGAGTACATTTATAAGGTTGCCTGAGTTTGTTTGAAATATTTATATAACATATCTTAAGCTTTCTGTGAATAAGAAATGAATAGATGGCAATAGAGCTGTAGAGAGGCGTGTTGTGTTTAAGAGTCTGGTTATCAGACTTAATGGTTTTCTATTGTCATGTAACACTAGATAGTAATATCATACAAGGCAGTTCTTCTCCATCATCCATTATTCACCACATCAGAAATTGATGTTTTATGTCTTCGCAACATCATTAGCACTTCCTTGTGTGAAGAATAGAACAGAGACTCAAATTTTTGGCATAATGAATACAAAAGCATTGATACTAGAGAATTGACTTTGTAAACGTTATCTCTAGATCCACAACCCCCTATTAGGTAGATCATACACTTGGTAAGAAATGCTCTTAATTCTCTGTGGACTCATCTGTGTGGGGTAGCATCATATACAATGTATACGGTATATATGTACAATTGCATCACATTGAACCAAGAGAGCAAGAAAATCATCTTAAAAAACAAATATTTTAGAATTAGTCGGGAACCAAATTTTTTGTACCTAGCTACATTGATTCCATTTTTATCTGGAGTAATTTTACAAAATTTAGCGTTGAAAGGTGGAAAGCAAAAGAAACAATCTTTATATAGGTATGGAGATAGACAATTCTTTCCTCTTGCTTAAAATTAGTCATGATTAAAAAATGAATAATTTTTTGGTAGAATCTTCATGGATGGTGTACATAACATGATTAACAATGTGATTATTATCTAAAATTAAAGACTGATTGACACCCTATCAAGAATAGCGTTTGATTATCAGCACAGGTTTATGTTTGTCTTTCAATGTACAAAGTTTATAATTGTCTCCATTTGTAGAATTTGGAAGAAATTTTGGAAGAAATATCGAGAGAGTTCTCCTAGTGAAAGCCTTTGTCTAATTTAGCTTTCAGTTACATGCTAGCAGCCTAACCATAATACATGATGTGGGGAAATTACTTTGCCTTATCACTGGAGAACACACCTCATGAGATATTGGTTTTCTGTAGAATCATTTTTCTAATATGATTGATACCTATTCTGTTTTCTGTATTCATAAAACAAAGGTATTTTATGGATTTTTTAAAGCTAAAATCCATGCTAACAATCATTTATACCTGTACCATTCAATGATCATTATGTATTAATATTTGTTTTGATGTAAATAATATTGTGTTGTGATAATACAGTTGTATA